TCTCTCATACTCAGTCTTCTCTCTCTCATCCTTAGCCGAATATTGAGCTCCAAAATGAAGAAGATTCTGTAATCTCCGACTCTGGAACCGAAGATGGTGGACGAAGCGACCTCGGAGCACATGGAGGAGCCGAATTGGGGGTTGAATTTGCGTATATGTGCCATGATCAACAGTGAGGGGTTCAATGGATCAGAGATCGTGGCGCATATACCTATCGCCCTAGACATTGCTAAGACTCCGAGTACTCTAGCACCGTCCCAGTATATGACTCTTCCACCGGCGTTTCGAATCCGATGGAGTTCGTCTGGTCGATCAGGCTGTGATTGATACAAAAAAATATGAGAAATACAGATCTTGATTTTCAATCGAAGTTTGAAGAGATATGAATTTGAATTGAGACCTCACCTTGCGATTGGAGAAGAGAGGAATTGCGACGCCGTTACGGCAAACTACGGCTCGGGAGTCACCGCAGTTGGAGACGATTATCTTCTCCAGAATAACGACCGCGACGACGATCGTCGATCCGACGGCGTCGCACTGCGGTGTTTGGAGCTCGCACATGCAGTTGGAGATGGAGGCTCCAACTCCAACGCCGCTGGACCAATCGGTTACTTCCTTGTCCATACAAGAAAAGCTTCGCTTCATCATTTCCTTCCACGAATCTTCTTCGTGGCTTTCGACCTCGTCTCTCACTATCTCGTTAGGTGCCAAAAGATCAGATAGATCAAATGGAAGAGATAAGGGTTTTAATGGAAAAAGATTAGAGCCATTAGATGGGACAAATGAGGGGATTTCAATGATAGCAAATCATAGAGATCAGATGGAGAACTGAAGGGATGAAGGCTTTGATGAAGGGGATGAAGGAGAGAAGAGCTCCGGCACGGGGGAGGATCTTATCACCGCTGCCTCAAACCACCATCTCACTGTCATTACCTAATCCATCATCTTCACTATGATCTCAACGCCATAGCTACCCAAACCTATATCATCACCTCAACATGGAGGAGGTACATATATTGAGATGAGAGAAAAAGTCTCTTTGAAAGAAGTGATCAGAGAGAAGCTGTCTGATTTTGAAATGGAAGTGATGAGATAATAATGAAGAGAAGAGGAAAATTTTGTGATAAAGTGTAATGGTGAATCAATTCTGTTATCCCTAAGGCTAGTATGCATATATATGAATACGTTTTGATGATATCAAACATATTTTTATGGTACTAATGACTTGTTCTCAAGTATGTTGCTTATAGAGAAGATCTGATGCGAATGTCACAATGCCTAAAGGATCAAGGCAAATCAAGCAAGAAAGGAAAATATTCAAAATCACAATGGCTAATTTTGCTTACAAATAGAAATAAGGTTGATACGGAGAAATTCGAGACCATGACAAGCTCTCAAAATTCAAATTCAAAACGGCTAGTTTTCAAATTCAAATTCAGAACGGCTAGTTTTTCATCAAATGGCTTCTTCATAATGGCTAGTTTTTCAAATGGCTACTTTGTAACGGCTAGTTCGACTATTCTCTCTCCCAATGTCTATATATATGTAAGGCATCTCTTGTAGCATAACACAACGAAGAGAATAATAATCCTAAAGCTTTATGTGTGAAATCAGCTCCATCTCTGCCTGATTCGATTCTAACCTTATTTGTTTCATATTTTGAGAGATATATTGTGTAAGTTTTTGGTTGTAATATCTGCTCATTAAGGAGTTGTTTTTCTTGTACTAAAATCCATATTTACTCATTGTATACAAAGGGTTAGGTTGTAACCCTTGTAAGGAAAAAGCAGGATTGTCTTCATCCTTGTAGAGTTGTAAACTCTAGATACTTGTAAAAAGTGTTCTCCATCTTTAAGAAAAAGTCCAGTGGATTGTGAAAATCCTCAAGGGATGCTCTTGAGGCGTGGATGTAGGCAGATACTGAACCATGTAAAAATTGTTGTGTGTTGATTTCTCTCTCTCTCTTTCTCTCTCTCTCTCTCTATATATATATATATATTACTTATTTGTTGAATTTTATTTAAGATTGCTTGCCACTACTACATGTTAAATTATTTGTTCATCTGTTTAATAACAAGTGTTTGAAGATTTGTTTAACACAATTTAATTAGTCTTTCTAAATACTTGAATATTGCACACCAGTGTTTCATACATTGCACTTGTGTTTTCCTGTTGTTTGAGTTTATCTAGTTAACATCATTACATTAGAATTATTTCTTATTTAAGAATTTGGGGTTTGCTAAAACACTATTCACCCCCCTCTAGTGTCAAACACATGGGAAACAAATTTTTCAAAAAAAAAAAAAATGAAGTGATGAGACAGAGAAATTAACGCAAAAGAGAAGAAGAAAAGGATGTGATAAAGTGTATAACGATTTCAGTTTAGACCCGACCTATCTATGTTTTTTTGGATTCGGGATTCCTTGTCTTGATGGTTGTTCATGTCCTTGTTCATCTTATTCCTTGTTGAATTGGATTATTTAAGTATTGCGGTTGCATTTTCGTTTTTCAAAGGAGTTATTACCTAGAATTCTGCTTATTCGCTCGAGTGAACTTTCTTGCGCTCAAGCGGTCTTTGCGAACTCTCAATACTTTTGTACGTCTGCAAAACTTCTGGAACTATAGTGTTTCTAGCTCGAGCGAACTTTCTTACGCTCGAGCAATCTTGGCTTAAGCAGCCTTTCTTGTGCTTGAGCGGTTAGCCTTTGTCTGCAAAACTTCTAGGAGGGTGTCATTGTGTGTTCGAGCGGTCTCACTTATTGTGTCGTGTTGCTCGAGCGGTGTTTTGGTTGCTCAAGTGGTTTGCACGTATATTAATCCGTAAAAGTCACTTTTTGGATCACTTTTTCATTTCTCTCTCTCTCTCTAAATATTTCAAAAACCTAGATCTACTCTCCCTTTCTCTAAAATTCACCTTTAAACCTCAAATACACCCTCACCCTTTGATCTCTACACCTTTGTCCTTTTGAGCAAATATAGAGTTAGTCGAGGGCTTCGTTCTAATATAAAAAGTTCGTGTTTTCGTCGACATTGAATTTTGGAGATTTTGGGCTTTCTCCTCTTTTGGAGTAGAGGTAGGGATTTTCTTAACGGCGTGCATATTGTTTAGCTTTGTTATATGTTATTTTTGTTAGTTATGGGTTTTCAAAAGCATAGATTTGGATATAGATTTATTAATGCACAAATTTGGGAAAAAATACCTGTTTTCAGTTATGGTTTGGGATTGGTAACCTAGTGCTTGTTGTGTTATGTAGTTTTGAAGAAAACATTTGGTTTATAATGGGTTTTCAAATGTTAATAAAAAAACTAGGGTTTTGAATGCTTTTATGAAAAAATATGGAATTAGAATGGTTGTGGGATTTTGGTTAAAATGAGGTTTGATTGTTTTGAATAATTAGAAAATACCGAGTATTATTTACTCATTTGAAATGGTGGTTTTGTTGGAAACTATGTAAGCGGTTTTTTTTTGAAAAAATTGTATATTTTCAGTTGAGGTTGACAAGACTCGTGAGGAGTGTGAATGTTGTTTTGGAAATCATGAGATTTTGTATAAATCATTGGAATTCTGATTTGGTTACGATTTTGAAATATTATTGTTGTTGTCTTTTAATCAGAGATAATTGTTTTTGGCAACCTGTGGAGGGTTGTATTAATTGTTATAGAAACTTCATGTGGATTAGGGAAATGGAAATGTTCACAAATCATACATCGCATTGTGCATATCATAGATTTGTAACTGGAGATTTCACGTTTCGGAAAATGTATTGTTGTTTTGAGATGCATGTATTGTATTATTGAAATGGTAAATAAAATGGTGAAGCTGTAAGGGGGTGTTAAAGTATAATAAAGTTGGCCTGTGTGTCCATGGTATGAGACCTAAAACCTGTACAGTAGGTGCTGAGCATTCCGGTGAGTACCAGTAAAAATGGCACAGTGACTTGTATAGTTACTGTTATGAACACTAGCCTTGGAGATTTATTCATTATATTTACCACTCGATTGTTTTGAAAGAATTTTGTTGATTTGAAAAGATGCTTTGGAAATCTCGCCCTACATTGTTTCAAAGAAAGAAAATGCATATTTTACCGTGACATTTCATGTGCATTCATCTTATGACGTCATTAAGCTTCATACATGTTATTAAGTTTATTTCTACTGAGCTTTATGCTCACTCTACGAGGGAAACCACTTTTCAGATGAACTAGTGTGCCTCCACCAAGGTAATGACTTGGGAGGTTCTTGGAGCTTGAGGCTCATATTATTGTTTTCCTTAGTTATCTATTGTAATTTAAGCCACGAGCTTCTTTGTATTGAGTTGTGACTCATTTGCTGTATTCGGGCAAGGCCCTGGAAGTTTGTAGCCTTTAAAGTATTAATTTATAATAATTTAGTTTCATTCATTATGGATAAAATTCATGTTGTAGAGCTAAAAGAATGTACTAAGGCATATGTTGGAAACGATATTGCATAATTATGTTGTTGTTATGTTCCACATGTTAGCAATATTATAATGGAGTAGAATGTCTACTTATTTTGAGGCATTACAAAATGTAATAATGAATCAGTTCGAAAAAGGAAAAAGAAAAGTATAATGATGAAGTGATTGCTCTCTAATCGAGAGCAGTGTAATGGCAGAGCATTAAAAAAATATATAGTTGTCTAAAGCGATAAGACAGCAACAAATGAGATTATGCCACCTATGAAGTAGAGTCAAATATCTTCAGGCGGGCAGGTTTCATTTGGGTGGAACACTTTGTATCCGATCTCCGAACTGTGACTTAGTTTTTTAGTAGATTGGCACTCATTTATGACCGAATAAGGCAGCAAAATCGACTATGAAGTAGCGGGTTGGGCTGGTTTGGCAGTTAAGCGGGTTGAATGAGCTTATGAACAACCCTAAAATGTATGCAATTTTAGAACATTTACAAATTTAACTGACTACTTGTGATGGCACATTGAGATTTTTTTTCTTTCCGCATGAAAGGATCCTATTTGCTGGAAGAAACAACCAAAGACAGAATGCTTTTTTCCACATAAAAACATGTGAGTAATTTTTCAGTTAATAATCAACACATTAAAGTGAAAAAGTCATAGAGTAATGAAGTTCACAGAGGTAAAAAAAATGTACCAAAACAATCCTTTTACGTATAAATTGCATCTGTGATCGTGCCTTGTGTAATGTGCAGTTGCCAACGCAACTAATTTTCATGTAGAAGTCAAAAAAGACTTGAACCAATTAACCGAATCCTTGGGGTACCTCTTCAGCTTGTCATTGTAATCCACAAAATAGAGACCAAAGCGCGAAGTGTATCCTGCTGCCCACTCCCAATTATCCAATAGAGACCATACAAAATAACCTTTGACATTGCATCCATCCTCTCTGCAATTTAGTAAAACCCATAACATATTAGCTTACATTTGCCAAATTGTCACACCTATTTATCTAAAGAAATTACTTACTTGATAGAAGCTAGCAAGTTTGAGAGATAGTCATTATGGTATTTGATCCTTTTCTCATCCTTTAGGGCATCCTTAATCGACGTGAATGGGTTATTTGAATCATCCATTCCTATAAAGCCATGCAAAAGATAAGTAAGTTGCGTTTTTCATGATTTTGCATCCTTCTTGTTACAAGGAAGAATTTGGGCTTGAAAATATTGAAATGATCTATAATGTTATAGATTTTATCGGTTTTTCCTTTGCTAATTGATTTGCTTAAAGTTTGACGATATATGGACATGAAATCATGTTGTTGATGCTTTACAATATTTCAATTACTAGACACAGATTAATTACAGTACCAAACGAAATCACATATTATGCCAAATGAAAATAAAATCCAACTAGTAACCACTTAAACTAGTCAAACAATGATATAGAAACAAATATAAGTGGGATTTGAAAACTTCAAAGCTCAAATGCAATGTTTTGCAAAAGAAAATAAAAGAACTATTTGGATTGAACAATTATATACTTTGACACTTTTTTGTGCGTTTAGAGGGTTACCATTTTCAGTGATGATGACTGGAGGATTCCCATACTTTTCCTTGATATAATTCATTAAACTTCTGATCCCATGAGGTACTATGTACAGCCATATCGAATGTGCCTACATATAAAACCATAATTTTAGGAAAAACAATTAAATAATAATGAAAGAGCTTCCATGTGGTACTCAAATTAAATTGTCAAGATATGTGGCAATTTAATATATCTATTGCATATACTATTGCACCTAGGCCCAATAAAGACACTTGAAAAATAATTGCAAAGATATTTCAATATTTGTGATACACGCCAGAGAAATAAGCTATTGAAACCCAACAGTTACTAAAATGAATTTGAATTCAAAAAGAAGATGGAAGCATGCACAAAGTAGAAGATGGAGAAGATCACGGTGTTGTGTGAAGCAATTGCTGCCCCTTCGATCAGAGGATCAAAGGAGTTGTTGTATCTATAAATATTCAAACGAAGATTGAAGCCCCGGATCAAAGTTTATCAAACCAAAACTCTATTTCTTTCGTTTCAATCTTGTCTTTTCATTCCATAGGAGTAGCCATAACCGTAACTTAAATAACAACAGATTTTAATTCATGTGTTATTCTTTACTTGTAATTTTGCTTCGAGGTAGTAGGAATATGAGTAGAAGTGTATTGAACTTCTAGTTTTTCCTTGTAATTGATGAACTCATTTATCAATTACAATTTTCGATTGTTTATTTATCTATCACCTCTCATTTAATGTTTACTTAATTGGTTCTTATTTTTGACATTTAATGTTAAAATTCTTCTTCACTGAGGCAAAAGAACCTTAAACACTTACGCTTGAGTTTCATTTGGCTTCAATTATATCTATAAGAATTATTCAATCCTTGTTGGCACGTTTGTAGTTAGATTTTTGTCTTTCAAAGAAGGAAAAAGCCAAGACATGACTAATAGTAATTGAATAACTGAATTTTTATTTATTTATTTTTATTTTTGAGACACCATTATTAGCAAAACAAAGGAACCAGACAGGCTGAAAATCAGTTTTGAAGAACTAACTTTATCGTACAAAACAATATGGAATAGTATGTGGATATGGTTGCCATTTCACCGTTTTTTTTTTTTTTTTTTTTTGGTTTTGTGGGAAAAACATGTCCATATATCGTCAAACTTTAAGCAAATCAATTAGCAAAGGAAAAACCGATAAAATCTATAACATTATAGATCATTTCAATAATTTCAAGCCCAAGCTAATTGATTTGCTTTCAAATCAATTAGATTATAGATCATTTCAAGCCCAAGCTAATTGATTATAGATCATTTCAAATCAATGATCTATAATGTTATAGATTTTATCTGTTTTTCCTTTGCTAATTGATTTGCTTAAAGTTTGACGATATATGGACATGAAATCATGTTGTTGATGCTTTACAATATTTCAATTACTAGACACAGATTAATTACAGTACCAAACGAAATCACATATTATGCCAAATGAAAATAAAATCCAACTAGTAACCACTTAAACTAGTCAAACAATGATATAGAAACAAATATAAGTGGGATTTGAAAACTTCAAAGCTCAAATGCAACGTTTTGTAAAAGAAAATAAAAGAACTATCTGGATTGAACAATTATATACTTTGACACTTTTTTGTGCGTTTAGAGGGTTACCATTTTCAGTGATGATGACTGGAGGATTCCCATACTTTTCCTTGATATAATTCATTAAACTTCTGATCCCATGAGGTACTATGTACAGCCATATCGAATGTGCCTACATATAAACCATAATTTTAGGAAAAACAATTAAATAATAATGAAAGAGCTTCCATGTGGTACTCAAATTAAATTGTCAAGATATGTGGCAATTTAATATATCTATTGCATATACTATTGCACCTAGGCCCAATAAAGACACTTGAAAAATAATTGCAAAGATATTTCAATATTTGTGATACACGCCAGAGAAATAAGCTATTGAAACCCAACAGTTACTAAAATGAATTTGAATTCAAAAAGAAGATGGAAGCATGCACAAAGTAGAAGATGGAGAAGATCACGGTGTTGTCTGAAGCAATTGCTGCCCCTTCGATCAGAGGATCAAAGGAGCTGTTGTATCTATAAATATTCAAACGAAGATAGAAGCCCCGGATCAAAGTTTATCAAACCAAAACTCTATTTCTTTTGTTTCAATCTTGTCTTTTCATTCCATAGGAGTAGCCATAACCGTAACTTAAATAACAACAGATTTTAATTCATGTGTTATTCTTTACTTGTAATTTTGCTTCGAGGGAGTAGGAATATGAGTAGAAGTAGCAAGGTAATGTATTGAACTTCTAGTTTTTCCTTGTAATTGATGAATTCATTTATCAATTACAATTTTCGATTGTTTATTTATCTATCACCTCTCATTTAATATTTACTTAATTGGTTCTTATTTTTGACATTTAATGTTAAAATTCTTCTTCACTAAGGTAAAAGAACCTTAAACACTTTCGCTTGAGTTTCATTTGGCTTCAATTATGTCTATAAGAATTATTCAATCCTTGTTGGCACGTTTGTAGTTAGATTTTTGTCTTTCAAAGAAGGAAAAAGCCAAGACATGACTAATAGTAATTGAATAACTGAATTTTTATTTATTTATTTTTATTTTTTGAGACACCATTATTAGCAAAACAAAGGAACCAGACAGGCTGAAAATCAGTTTTGAAGAACTAACTTTTTCGTACAAAACAATATAGAATAGTATGTGGATATGGTTGCCATTTTCACGTATTTTCTCTTCTCTCTTTCTTTTTTTTTTTCGTTTGTTTGTTTGTTTTGGTTTTGTGCAAAAAAAAAAAAAAAAAAATAATCAGTGTGAAAAAAAAAAAAAAAAAAAACCTCAAGCACTGGTCATGCTTGAAGTGCCCAATTGATAAAACTTAATGTTGTTAGTCAGATTACATACCCGGTCTCCTATAGGTTGTAAATCCTTGAATGCTGAAAATAAACAAAAATAGTTAAGACCTTTCTATCAGTAGCATCCAATAAAATATTGGAGTACAAAATGTCAATGAGTTGAAATAATGGCCAAACACCTCTAGGATATGATTAGTTGATTACAAGTTATCAGAAGCAGACTGTAAAGACTAAGACAAATGGATAGGTAAATACTTACGAAGAGTAATTGCTCCAGAGTCTGCCGTGGAGTCATTGAGTAGGAATCCAAGTATATTAGATTTATTGTTTTGTGCGTAAAATGTTGTGTAGTGGTTTATGCCCACAAAGTCCAAAGACCCCTTGAGAAGAGCTGACTCTGTTTTTGTAAATCTTGGTAACCGACTTCCAACTCTACTAATCATTGATCTTGGGTAATTGCCAAGAGTCAAAGGTTCAATAAACCTGCAATAATATAACATGATTTTGCCAACGACTTCTAGCAGAACAGATAAATTATGCCAAAGATGAGGTTGTATCCATATAGGCCTTGCCATAACGACATTTTTTGAAGTGAAAGTGTGACTACAAGTATGTAACATTTATGCAAATGAGCAAACAGTTCCCAAAATGAAGAAATTTAGGTGTTAGTAACACTTTGAATTAACATATACAAGGAAATTGGATTAATTGAAAAAAATATATCACAAGAAAAAAAGAAGTCATTTTCAGAACACATAAAACTTACGATGCACTAGTATACATCTCGCAATTAGCCTGGCTTTTATAGCTTCAGTTCCATAAAGAGAACATAGACATAATTTTTATATGCCTCTACAATGCAAAGTATATTCTTTTCATTTAACTCAAGAAACTCTTAAAACTAGATGAGAATCCGTAATAGATTTTACCAGCCTAATTGAAAATCTTGCGCTCTTTGTGTTGCTTCAATGTCATCCGTGGAATTTGTTGCTGGTTCAAACCAAATAACATCAAATGATATCCCAACTGATCCACGTTGTTTTGGCTGTCAATCAATAAGTTATGATAAATAACAAAGCCATAACACTAAATGTATAGTGTTTCATGCATGATCTTTCACATGTGCAAGGGCATGTGCACTTGATCGAAAGGACAAATATATTAGGTTCCATTTCTTAATTTCCTCTTTTTTATTTTTATTTTTCTTTATTTTTTCTTTTTCTAGAAGAGGATAGTAATTTTTAGGTACGTCTTAATTGAAAAAGTGGATAGTAATTACACTCACTTATTCTATCTTCCTTTTTACCTCATTATTACAATCTTGTAAACTCAAATTGGTCATTCAAGCAAAAAAAAGAAAAAAAGAAGCTCCAAATTATGATTTTTTTTTCCCCCCTTTACTCCTAATAGAATCTTTTATCAATACCTTGTATTTCCTTTTGTAAATATCTGCCACAGTTGCGTGAGAAAGGAGAACATTGTGGCCAACTATGTAAGGTTCAGTTGCAGAGTTTCCACTTCTACATAAGAGGCGAAGAAGGATGGAGCATCGTCCTGGAGCCTGGAGACCCACATCATAGCCTTGTGTGGTAAATGTATGAGGCTCATTGAATGTAATCCAATGCTTCACTCTATCACCAAAGTTCTGGAAGCATGTCTCAACATATGTTGCAAAATCCTTTCTGGAAAAAAAACAAAAAAAAACAAAAAAAAAAAGAAAGGAAGGAAGAAGAAGAAGAAGAAGAATAAATAACTTAATGCCATATTTCACTAGCTTTGAAATCTTTTGGTATATTTCCCCTAAAAATAAAATAAAAATAAAAATAAAAATAAGAAAAAAGTATTGTCCAATTAGTACATATTAATGTGTGTTTGAGAGGGGAAAGATTGGGTATCTTTCCCCTAATAATAATAATTTACTTACATGATTTGTTGGTCAAGCCAACCATTGTATCTATCTTGCAAGGCTTGAGGAAGGTCCCAATGGTAGAGGGTTACATATGGTTCAACTCCTGCATATATGATGTTTGAATCAATGATAAACACTGTATTAAAAATATCATCATAGTAACGCACACACTTTGTTGAGACTTCCTTATTCAATACATATGAAAATTTTTGAAATTGAAAATACCCTACATAGCTTCAATTTAGTGTTTACACCAAACTAACATGTTCACTTTATATAATGTAATTAAGTAATAGAAAAAAGAAAGATATGCAATTTTTACCATTGGCTACTAGGGCATTGATGAGATTATTGTAGTGATCAACTCCTGCTTGATTGATTTCTCCAGTTCCATCTAATGCACCAACATAAAATAAGAAAAAGAAGAAGAAGAAGAAGAAGAAGAAGAAGAACTATTCCTTTCTTTGTTTTAAAGGTGCCTTTAAATCAAGAAAATTAACCCAAAAAAAAAAAAAATTTAAAAATTGTTGTGAAGAATAGTAAGGATCTTGGATAAAAACAAAATAAAATAAATAAATATGATATAAAATTTTCTTGAACATCCATCATATCACATGATACATCACGATTTTGAAAGTGTTTAGCCCATTAACATATGGCTTAGTTCAAATAATAGCAGTTGCAGTTGGAGGAATAAGTAATCATTGGAGTACATTTCTAGTTAATCAATGTGAGATATTCAAAACAAGGCTCGGTTTTGATTCCCTAAAAATATGAAGAAGAAAAAAGGCTCAGTTTTAAGTGCTTAAAATGCCCATTTTCCTTGAGCATCCTTTGTACGCATTTTCCTTAATTAGCAAAGTTTCAAAGTCAGACAAACACGACATTGATAAAAGTGGGAATACGCTCATGCGTATAAATGCATATAGCACCACTTCAAGCAGGCAGTCCATCCTCAGAGTTACAATAGTGACTCTGGCAATGTATTTAAGAGGATCATTTTGTCGAAACAATAGCATAAGAAATAGTTTTTGTCACGACACTTTGTCAACGAAAAAAGTATCATTTACCAATTTTCAAAAGAAATATGTTTGGTGAGAATTAAAGGGCTTCAATTAATCCCTCTCATAAAATTTTATTGTCTTCTCAAATAGGCTTTTACTTGTTAAATAACCTCAATGAGACTATTATTGGCTATAGACATGCCAAGTAATTTCAGAGAAGAGGACACTAGCAAAGAGAACTTACTAGGGAAAATCCTAGACCAAGCAATTGAGAATCTGTAGGCATCCATTCCCATGTCCTTCATAAGTTGTATATCTTCCTGTTTTCAAGCAACAACAAAATCTCTAAAATATATTTTTGCGCAAGAAATGCAATAATAAACATCAGAGAAAAATGAATATATTGCCAGAGCCATAGTTGTTTTGGTTACTTTTATGGTTGCAATAACTCTTTTTATTGGAAGATTGATGATCACTAGCACAAACATAGTTTAAAGCTAAAAATTAGAGTTAATTACACTTAGCACCCTTAATATTTTTACTAACATTTCACTTTGGCTCCCTCAACTTTCAATTATGAACAACTCCTTACATTTTAAGCCAAATTGCAGTGTTTCCCTTCAGTCCATAACTTATTAATGAGGGTAATAGTATGTATGCCACAAGGCCACAAGTGATATTTTTTTAGAGTGGAATTAAAAATGGCGAGACCAAAGTGAAATTTTGGGAAAAATACAGGACTAAAGTGTAATTTTAGTGAAAGTACAAGAACCAAAGTGTAGAGGTGTTAATGAGCCAATAAAAACATCATGTGTGGCTCAAATGCCAATTTATGTTAGCCTCGTAACCATGAGATAGACAAAAGAGCAACATTATAACCTAATTTAAAGTGCAAGATGTCGACTATCACAATTGAAAGTACAAGGGTCAAAAAAGAATTTTGATTTAAAGAAAAAAAAAGGGGTGCTAAATGTAATAACTTTAAAAATTATCACTCTCCAGAAAAAGCAATATACTATTGGTATGAGACTTACATCAAACTGGTGATACTGATCTACAGCAACATCAGCATTACTGAAATCAAGAACCTTTCCTATAACAAAAAATAAAAAATTAGTAAATAAATAAATAAAAGAAATGTATGTAGAGGGCATCAATTAAGAGAGTTTTTTTTCTTTTTCTTTTTGTGTGTGTGGATAAATCCAATTAATGGTGTGTTTGGTTGGGGGATTTGGGAAGGGATTTGGAAAGGGAAATGGAAAAGGTAGGTGAAATGTGAATAAAATATGTATATATTTCACATAGTTTCACACACCTTTTCCATTTCCCTTTTCAAATCCCTCCCCAAATCCTCCAACCAAACACAGTGTAAGAGTGTTTGTTATTGCTATATCCAATGGCAATCTATCCTACCAAATGAGTGTGCAAATGTGTCCCAGACTGTTGGGCCCCTTCCACCCTCTTTAACTGCTCCTTCATACTGCACATACAAATTTAAGATTGACAAATTAACAAGAAGTTGTAAGACAACATAAACTAAGGTATTAATGGATTACTTAAGTTTCCATAATCATCAAGTGTTATTCATATAAGAAATCTAGCTACTATGACATAAGAGTTTATGGTGAGAAACCAACTCTAGTTCTACAATTTAGAGTCCTCCCATCACATCATGCTTCCTTCACCTTTAATGACTTATTTGTTGGCCAAAGGAAAGGCCAAATAGTGCCAGTGATTTCTCTGAGCTGATCTGGATTTCTCTAAATTTTTACTTCTGTTTAGTCTTACTACTCTCCGAAACGGAAAGACAAAGGCATCTACTTTAATCAGTTAACTAAGAGTCCATGACTACAAACGAACTATATTATTCATGAATAGTTTGAGTTCAACTTGTTTGTAGTTGTTTAATTATGTATATGAGTCGAGCTTGAGATTAAATTCTACCTCATTTGAAAAATGAAAAAAACTCCATTTTAACCCCCTGTCGTGTAGCACAGTAGCAATTTACCCCCATATCTTTTAAACATAGCAACATACATTCCATGTGGTTTGCTATTACAGTTACATTTTACATCCAAATTAACGAAAAGTTTACCTGCCTATTTACGCTGTGTTTGGTTGGGGGATTTGGAAAGGGAAATGGAAAGGGAAATGGAAATGAAAGGAAAAGGAGAAAGAATTAATAGAATTTCAAATCCCAACTATGTTTGGTTGTGTTGGTTATAAAATAGAATTGATGTCCTAAAAGGTCTCCTATTTCTTTATTTATTTCTCACCCCCTTTCTTTTCCCATATATTTTTTATTATAACCAAACATAAATAGGATTACATTTCTCATTCCTTTTCCAAATCCCACCCCAAAAATCCCAACCAAGCACAGCATTAGAGAGTGTAAGAGGGAAAAAATTTAGTCAAAGTTAAATTCCATTGTGAGAAGACAAATTAGCCTTATCTTGTACTTTTCATCTTAACCTACCTCAAGGATTTTGGAGCGTTATGCTCACTTTTGTTTTATTTTCTTGTGGAGCCAAGGGCTAAATTGTATTTAGGATTGAAACCCATTTTTGGTGTAATGGGGCGAGACCCTTGGAACTTGTTAGCTTTTAGGACATGTTTTTGTGTTCGTATTTAATACTACATCCTGTAATTTGCATGCTATATATTCAAGCTTGTAGAGTTGTGAATTTATCAATGCAGGTAATTTTATTTTGAAATATTGAAACCAAATATAATGAATGTGGAGAATTACAATGACAATGATTATTTGTGTGTTTGAGATAAATTATCGCTTCTGCATGTTTAATATTATTGATAATTGAAATTGGCTAATAAATATGGGTTGTATCCGATGAGTCGATTTTCATATAATTGAGGACATTACAGATTGCATTGTGGAGTGATCAATCACCAGGCGAGTGTGATTGATTGCCTTGTCGAACAGATTTTACTACAAGAATTTCTTTCTCTTTCATTCCATTTTCTTTTGCTTCATCCGAAATTTCTTCCTCCCCCTCTCTGCTTTCTCTGTCTAAAATACCTTGTTTGTACATCCAACTTGAATCACCAAATAGAGGCATTTAGAGTTTGATTCAACAAGAAATCCGAGCTTCAACATTGTTTTACACATCAAACTTACCATCTAATCGGTCTTAAATCTTCATTTGGACAAGGTCATCACCTTGAACTCAACGGTTTGGTCTTTTCAATTGAGGTATGAATTTTCTTGCACATATTTAAATATGAGTTGATTGTTATTATGTGGTATTATTCTTATGAAAATTGTTATAAATTTGCATATATTAAATAAGAAGTTATCGTTTGCATAATAAGGAAAATTTCTTAGTGCATCCTCCGTAAAACACATTTTTATCAAGCAATATTAGATTATGTGTAGAGGTGAAAAATGGATGGATTTGGGTAGGTCAAATGAGTTATGGATTTAAAGCAACTTAACTCAAACTTTATACTCAAATAATAACTTAGTACGCTCTATTAAAATTTTAAAATTTTAGCTCATATTATATCCTTATGTAGATTTACTAATAAAAACAAAACATATTAAGTGCTGTTTTGGAAAGTTTCGAAAAACGCAGTATTTTGACCCAAGGTCCAAAAACGCAAGTGGCCAAAAACACAACAAAATTCATTTGGGGAGCCATAAAAACGCGAGTGTGAAATTATAAATTGAGGCTTATGACAAAAAAGTAAAAAAGTAAATTTCTTATGCTAAGTAAAGATATTTTGGTCATTTTAATTTGATTTGACACCATAAACAAATATTAAGGCCAAGTTTAGCATACACAAAATAATCCATCTTTTTATCTTTTTATTTTTTTTCCATCACATCACCTTTCTACTTTTCTGCACATATTTTCGTAAAAAGACAAAAAATACACTTATTTAGGTCATCCAAAACAACCCCTAAATTAAAAAGTCAAAAATCAACTTTTTACCAATTTCCCAAATCACTTTCCAAGAAGCTAAAAAACTTGGTACAAAGTCAAAAACTAACTTTTTACTAACTTTCCAAAACATTTCTAAATCTTAAAATAAAATATTATTCTTTATAATCAAGTATGTTCATCTTTTTTTTCTTTTACTTTTTTTTTAAAAATTTCAATTATTTTTAAAAATTTCAATTATTCTTTATTCATCTTCTTCCTCATTTCAAATTTTCAATTCCCCTACCAAAATTCATCATTATTGTTATCATTAACATCATATAGATTTCTTGACGTTGGGTACGGCTTGCCTCATCCGGTTCAGTCAATAAGATGCCCACAGTGTTATACTTTCTCTCTCTAAAATTTATTCTCCTTCGATATGATCATCAACTCACCAGGAAACAGACCGAGAACTTTATCATCCAAATCGCAACAATCTGATGACAATGTTGATGACCCATATTGATGATGTCCATCACAGAGGACTCAGAGTAGATCGACAACCCAAATGGCTCATAGGCGGTGACAGTGATAATTGGAAAAATCAGCGGCGACGAGATAAAAATCAAGAATGACTACCGGCCAAACCCAAGTTTTGGATTCGAATCAATTTTTCTATTTTGAAAGTCGATAACGCAATTCTGAGTCAACAAAGCAAGACCCTGGGTTGGATTTCACTTCATGTTGGGTTTTTTTAGGGATGTTAACTGGCAGTGATTTTTAGTGATTTTGGATGTACATTCAAGGGTAATTTAGGAAAAAGCACACAGTGTATTTAGAGTAAATTATAATCTTAAATAATTAATTTAGAAAAATAATTTGAAAACCCATAAGTGTCTCAAATTTTCAATTCATCCACCAAAACTCATCATTAAGATGTCTCAAATTTTCAATTCATCCACCAAAACTCATCATTAAGATGTCTCAAATTTTCAATTCATCCACCAAAACTCATCATTAAGATGCCCGTAGTGTTATACTTTCTCTCTCTAAAATTTATTCTCCTAGGTTATGATCATCAACTCACCAGGAAACAGACCCAAAACTTTATCATCCAAATCGCAACAATCTGATGACAATGTTGATGACCCATATTGATGATGTCCATCACAGAGGACTCAGAGTAGATCGACAACCCAAATGGCTCATAGGCGGTGACAGTGATAATTGGTAAAATCAGCGGCGACGAGATAAAATCAAGAATGACTACCAGCCAAACCCAAGTTTTGGATTCGAATCAATGTTTCTATTTTGAAAGTCGATAACGCAATTCTGAGTCAACAAAGCAAGACCCTGGGTTGGATTTCACTTCATGTTGGGTTTTTTTAGGGATGTTAACTGGCAGTGATTTTTAGTGATTTTGGATGTACATTCAAGGGTAATTTAGGAAAAAGCACACCGTATATTTAGAGTAAATTATAACCTTAAATAATTAATTTAAAAAAATAATTTGGAACCCCATAGGGGTGACCCCATGACCCTCTATGGCATGTGATTGGTCAATTTTATTTTATTTTATTTTTTATTTTTTATTTTTTTTTCTTCTTCTCCAATCACCAACTCTCACGTGTGTGTAGGGGTGGTGGGGGTGGTGGGAAAAGGGGGTCTCAGTCACTTCCGATTGATTTAATGTTGAGAAATTATAAATACTATGATATATATTTTTTATTTTTTATTTTTTTACCTCTTTTTTAAAATTTAAAATTTTTTATTTTTATTTTTTTGATAAGCATTTTTTTATTTAAAAAAACTATTTATTATTAATTTTTTTTTTCTTTATACTTTTTTTGAATTTGAAAATTTTCAATTTTTGAATTTTTTTTCATTTTGTAAGAATTTAAAAATTTTCAATTTTTGAATTTTTTTTTCATTTTGTAATTTTTATTTTTTATTTATTTTTTATAATGGTGATGGCGGTAGTGAAGCAGAGGTGATGATGGCAAAGTAGTAGTGGTGGCGATGGTGGTGAATGTGGTGTTAGAGTGGCAATAGTAGAGGAGGATGTGGTGTTGGTGGCATGTTGACGGTGGTGGTAGTAGAGTGGCGGTAGTGAAGGAGGAGGAGGTGGTGATGGTGGTAGTAGAGTGGTAATGGCAATGATGGAGGAAGTAGTTGTGGAAGAGGCCGTGATAATGGTGGTGGAAGAGGTGGTGGTGATAATAGTGGAGTTGAGGTAGTTGAGGAGGAGGTGGTGTTGGTAGTGTTTTCAGTGATAGGTTGGTAGTAGTGGTGGTGGAATGGCAGTGGCGGTGGAGGACGTAGTGGTGGTGGTAGTGGTGGTTGCGTGTCGATGGTGGTAGTGGTGGTGGTGGTGGAAGAGTGGCAGTGGTGGTAGTAGTGTGTCGACAATGGTAATGGTGGCAACAAAGTAGCGGTAGTAGAGGAGAAGGTGGTGGTAGTGATAATGGGATAGTGGTGGTGGTGGATTGATGATAGAAATGGCGTCCATTTAGACATGATTAAATAGATATCCATGTCCAACTCATGTAAACCCAATTTTGATTGAGTTAACAATGAGCAACTCATTTAAGTCTAT